GAGAAAATATCTTACATTAATTGTATAAAAAAGGTACATACGTCAATTTACACAGATTATTAATACATAGCAAAGTCTTTATTTAACTTTTAAGATGTGTACAGTATAAGGTAAACAAAATTCTACTATTATACAATATACTATATTTCTAATTTATAGTGTTTTACTATTGTATATTGTATGTTATAATTTATATTAATATAAATTATAACACGTGTACACGACGTCATCCAAGGAAAAATTATTCGATTGTTACGTGTCAACTTAAATAATTTACCGCCCAGTGGCGTAGCGTAGTGGGGGTGACAGGGGCGGCAAAATTTCACAATAAATAATAATAATATATTGTAAAAATTTGAACCATTTCATATTTTTGTCGCAGCTACGATTCGGACCGATTGAAATGAGCACGGAATTTTTCATTACTTCTTCAGTGACGAAACTGAAATTTAGTGTTTTAAATTGAGATACCTAAATAAGGGGGCGGCTGACACCCACGCTACGCCACTGAAAGCGATCCAAATACTCAAGATAATCATGGCGTCGTAGTAATCGTCTAATAGCGATTAAAATCATAGATACTCTCGTTAGTAAATGATAAAAATTTCCTTATCGCTTTCAAACAATTAAAAAAGTAAATAGGCTATGAAAACCGGAAATCTTCGTGAGGACCCGAACAGGGGTCGACTAAGAGGTCCGAATGAGGGGTGTCGATTTAAAATAAAGAGCTCCTTTTCAGACACTAATGGAAAGGATTAAGTGTCTCAATTGAACAATGCACTTTTTTTTTTTTTTTTTTTGTAAATTAGTTAAACAATGGAAGCGGAATAAAGTCGAGGAAAACTCGACGAGAGAGAGGAATCATATTCAGTCGCAACGTTGACCTTCCCGGCGCCCTCCATTAGGTTTCGAATGTTCACCAGGTGACAAGGAGAGACCAATGGAGAGGCGACTGAGGTTAAGAAATCTATAAAACTGCGTTTTCAAGGACATAAAAAGTTCTTGGTTCTTGGTTTCTTCTACTGGACGTGCGTGCTCCAGATCTTTGGAAAACAAAAGAACATTTCGGAACTTGTGGAAACATCGTTCTCTGGGTGCCTCCTAGCGATCTACAGGTTCGTCAGTTCGTCCAACGAGAATCCGCCGAAAGCCGTGATAAATGCCCCGGGGCCTACGGAGTATTTCACCTTCAGTGTCCATTTACCAGTAACGAAGCCAGAACTTTTCGAACTTTATCCGCGCGTTTTGTGGTACTACCTCGTCAATCAAGGAATTTGTTAGGAAATTTCTATGTTTAGTAAACGGTTTACCATGGAAACCTGTCTCAGTGAATCCTAACACTCCCCACACGACGGAGTTGATTGCTCGGCTGTCGGAAAACTCCTCACCCCAATCAGCTAATCTCACACCTTGATCGCCAGGGACCCACCAGTGGCCAAGCGGTCTTCGTACCCTGAACACTGAGAGTTCGGTCGTGGGTTCGCGCCTCGTTCGGAGGGGCTGGCCACGTGGAATTTTCCGGGTTTTCTTCTTCTTTCTTCTCAGATGTTGATATGGAGATTTTAGCTCATATAGGCTCTTTCTCCGACAGACATGTAGTTATGATCGCTATGCGACCGAAGAGCCAGCCGTATCCGAACGGCCTATACGCGCGCGCGGGAAATAATGCCTTCCGGGAGGACTTTTATGAGGAACTGGCCTCCTATTCAGTCGTTATTGGCAAGGAGAAAACCCGGAAAACTCCAAGCAGCCAGCCTGTCCGATCGCGGCGCGAACCCACGACCGAACTTCCCAGTGTTTAGGTCTTGTCATCGCTATGAGCGGCAACGGAGACCACTCGCCCACTGGTGGGGCCTTCCGAGTTTTCTCCACGTCTGTAACGCCTAAATAGGGGCCAGTTTCCCTTAAAAGACATCCCCCTAGGCAGATCGCCCAAATGTTGCGTTTCCATAACTCAAACAAACCAAACCAAAACCTTGATCGTCAGAGGTTAATTTCAATCGCTGTTTTACAGGATAGCATAATTTGTTTTCTGTTCAGCTTTTGTCTTAAAATTTAGAGGCCCCAAGCTTTAGCTTATTTAGCTTAATGGTAAATCGGCATTGACGACAGGGACCAGGAAAGAACGTGGGATACTCTTCCGAACTTTGACAGGTATGGCAATTGCATTTAATACTGGCGCTGCTGTGCAGTGACATCTGATCCGAGCCGCCATATTGTGACATCCAAAACATTGTGGAGACCATAGGAAAGTGCTATAAAACACATGTTTCAACTATTCACGTAGCTCACCAATCCTTAAATTTTTTTTTCAGTTATATAAAAAGGGTCTATCGTAAATCTATCATTTTAATTAGTGACTAAAAAAAAAGAATATTTTTATTACTAGATATAAAAGACATTTATGTAAAATTTTGTGTTTATCAAAATAAAAATCCAGCAATGAGTTGCTTAAATTGCCCGGCAACATTTAGTGACGCCATCTGTTACGATATTTTATTAAAAAAACTTTTTATATTTAATTACAGTATTGTAAAATGGTAAAACAAGACTTAATTTTGAGGGTAGGAATGGGTTTTATTCTTAAAAAAAATTGTAAATGCTAATAACGAATAAAATCGTCATTAAATCCGACCCTACTGGAGATATGGCACGATCCCCTTTATCTCTCCACTCCCTCGACCTTTAATCACCATAGTTTAATAGCATCATTTGCCCTAATACACAAACCTCCTTGCAAAGTTTCAAGACATTTCGACAAAAAAACACAGGAGTTAAGCTTCAGACAGGATGAACAAAATCGTGCCCCCCCATACACGCTAACATCTATACATGCAAAAAAAATTCTGGGGGGGGGTTTTATGTATTTCTCGACGTTTCAAGGTGACCTAAGTCCAAAAATGTAAAAATCTTGGGGAGTCACTATCTAACCCATCGGCATACTTTCCATCTGTTGTGTATAAAAGCTGGAAAAGTAAAAATGAAGCATCTAGTAATCATTAACTGATAACAGGTATTCTAAATTTCTGTCTCAACTTTTCTCCACCATTTTTTATGTATTACGACTCTGAACATGGATTCACATCATTTAGAAACATGAAATATACACTCTTTAGATGGATGGATTAAATTCCTTCTACTTTTATGAGCAGTTAGAAGATTTAACATTGTGCTATAAGCTTCTTAAGCAGTTTAACATTATTTATAAAACTCACTTCTACCTTCAAAAGTAAGCTTATTGACATTTTATTGATATAATAAAAATTTAAAATAGAATCTCGTAACAGATGGCGCCACACACAATATTAACTTTTTTGCCAGGAAAGTTTCGTAACTCGTTGCTTATTTTTTTATTACTACTGTATATGAAAGAAAAACAGTTATTATTGTATTCGATATTAATGCAGCATAAGTATGCAATGCAATAATTAACGGAGTTTTAGTGTTAATAATGGTGTATCCACATTAAGTAAACCAAAATTAACTCATGATCAGTAAAATATTTTAACAGAAGTCGCCTAAAACTGTATCAGTAAAATTCTTGTAGAATTGTCAATAATTTATGGAAGTGTCTTTTTTCTCTTCTGCAATTGAAATTCCCTAGATCTAGCGAAAATCCTTGCTTCCTTCTTCCCAGAGTGGAAAATCCCACCCCCGCTACTGCTTACTGGTCAACCAAGTTTTATCTGTTAGTAACACCACCGGATGTTAACTTTGAGGCTATCATTCCAATGTTCATTAAATTAATATATAACTAGAATTTTTTTTCTCTGACCTTAAACATTGCAACAGTGCCACGTTATTCTATGGGCAAAAAGGGCAATTGCCTGAGACTTCCATCAATAGGGGCTGGAACCAATTTTTTAAAAGAAAAGAGTCACCCAAACAATTTCTGCAAAGAAAAATGTCTGAATTAATTCATCTGGATTACAGACCCTATGGCACATACTAATTCGGATGAATGAATTTGCCTGGGCCCCATAAGCTCTACCGTGCCACTACATTGCAAAGTATTTAGAACTACTTTTGTAATCTGTAACAGAATTTCTCTGTTCAACAGACATATCACTACTCCTGAAAGATTTAAGTAACCATAAAACTATAAGTATACCTTTCTTTGCAAAACTGTATAATTTGCTCTCATAATAACCATGGTTCATGAGCATGATCATCCACATAAAATTTTCCAAAGCTTTGAAACAAATTGCATGAATAAATTTTGAGTTTTTTTCAGATTATAGAATACAGCAGTTATGTCAAACTCATTTAAACAACTGGCCATTAATGTGACTGGTAAGATTCATGTGGGCCACATCATATTAACAAATTTTCTTAGTTATAATTTAAAGTGAGAATGCAAGAATATAGATAGGAGGGCAATTAAACATTATGTAGTTCAGTGAATGCAACTCAACAATATATAATTGCTATACTATTACTTTTATTTTAAACATTTATTTTATTTAATGTACATATTTATAAAACTAAAATCAATTGTTTACACCAGAAACTTGCCAGCACTATCTTCTTCCTCCTCGTTTTCCAATATTTGTTTGTTCTCAGTCTTTGAATCCAATCTTCATTATGGCAGATATATGTTTATGTTAGTCTTTATCTGCAAGCCGTTTTATTTAATTTCAGAGCATTGTAGCTGTGGGCCACGTAAAATCACATTGGGGACCGCCAGTTTGACACCCTTGGAATACAGTATTACATCAATACAAAAGGTGAGACAAAGTGTCCTATGGTCAAGGATATAAGATTACACATCTCAACCATTTTTACGATTATAAATTGTGGAAATTTTTATTCCGTTCCAGGGGAGCAAGTGCCGTTTGCCCCCTCTGAAACACTCATGCACCTCTCAAAAATAAGGCACAACTTTTTATGCAAATACAAAAACTGATTTTCACTAATTTGCATAACTTAAGTTTATATCTTGCGCTTTAAATTTCTTACAATTGACAAATGCTATATATGTATATATCAGAGAACATTCATGAAAATATTAAACCATTTTATTTCACCACAGGTAATTTTTACTTATGTGCATAAATCAATAATTAATATTGCTTGACTGAAAAGCAATTCTAGATTTAACATATGGTAACAAATCAAGACTTAATAGATTTCTTAGTACAAATGGCAAAACACCAAACATAAAAATATTGTTCCCATCGACAAAAGTTTGATATATGTAAATTGTTAATATTTTCTGTTGAATTGGAATAGCACAGTGGAACAGACTGTCATTACTTCTCTATAATATTAAACTCCATTCCCGATTTTTGTAACCGTTCCAATAGCGAAGTATCTTCAAAAGCAGCTGCCGGAGTTAAGACACCACCACTGAAAATAAAATTGTAGAAATTAGATTAATCCATAAAAAAATACAAAGTAAATTTAAATTTTATTTTCTTCTTACCTTCCGGGCATTTTCTCATTTTCTTTCAAACACACAACACCAGCATTGACTAAACAGAGTGATGTAGTAATGTATACTGGATCTATAAAAACACAACCATTTAATTGAAATTCAACATTAAATTTCAAAGGAACAAAAGTAAACACTAACCGGGTGCAGTTAAAATTACTTTCATATTCTTATTGGGTGGTTCTGTATGTTGTTTGTCAGCATCCAGTTTATCCTTCCACCCTTCGGCCCAAAACACAGTAGTGAAGGATGCTTCCTTAATCTGATACAATAAGAGGATATTTAGAAAGCCGTTGCAAATAAAAATAATATATTAAATCAAATTCATTACCTCTTGTCTTGAAGGACCCCCTTCTTTAAACTTACCAAAAGAAAACAGATGTGGATACTGAAATTATTTTAGCAAGATAAGATCAAACTGATCAGAATTAAAATTCATTAAAATATTTATTTTTAAAATGCAATATTGATAAAGACAAAAATGCTATTATTTCTCATAATTAATATGGCTATAAATTTATAATCATTTGGACTAATGATAGAGGAGAAGGTGGTATTATGGAACCCCATTTTCATTATAGTGAATTGTAAACAAGGTATCATAACTACACCCACATTTTTTGTGCAAAAAGTACTGGTAACTATTAAACTAAATGTTCCTAATTGGATTTTTCACTAGATAACTATAAGTATGATTTTTGAAGGCTTCTGTACAAAAAGTCAGAAAGTAGGCTTAGGGAAAACTGGGTGGTATTATGGAATCTTACTGTATATTTTCAAAAAATGCTTTAATGTATCCAAAAACAAATAGGAAAGTACAAAGAATGATAAGTAATTACAAAATCATTTACTCCAATGTATTTTATCAAAAAAATGCTTTTATAATAGAAAAATATGACCTCCATTAACAATATGTATTCCAGCAGCTCTTTTTCCATATTCTTAGGAAGAATTGGCTTTCTACCTAATGTCTTTTTCAGAAATTGCTCTGGACGAATGTCTGCTTGCAAAGAGAGAGTTCGGAGGAGTTGGGTTCCATATTAAAAGCACCAATGGGGTCCGTATTTCACGCATTGCCATCTTGAATTAACTAATGTCTGTCAAGACCAAACTTTAAAAAACATGACATGTCACACAGATTAATATGTATCCCTAAGTCTCTGGAGTGGAATACATGCACCAGTAAACCTGCAACTACACGATTTATATTTTAGAAATAATTAAATCACTTACCATTCAAAACTTGCGAATTTAGAAAAACACAAATATGCTGATTCATTACGGACAACCGTTTAACTGAAATGAAATGGGTTTTCCTCTTGCTACGGATGTCTGCCTATTGCAGTTCAGCCACAATCCGCCTTTATTATCAGTTTGAAATGGAGGGGTTCCATAATACCACCTTTTCCTCTAAGTGATTAAGTTGCCATTTTTAATTCTAATTATTAAATTTTAATACAATTAATAATTTAGAATATTCTGGAAGGGAGAAAAAGAATCAAACCATGGCAGAATTTGAACCCACAACTCCCACTTGGTCTGGAAGAAATAATTGGATGAAGTACAATTGGCAATCAATCCATACAGTAAGCAGAAGTGTAGGTTTAAGTCACACTCATTATTTCTTCCAGAATATTCTAAATTAATTAATTTAATTCTAATTATTAAATTCAATATTTGAGCGGTTGATCTTGAAAGTGGGTCAAGTACATTTCATGTTGTTGCTAGATATTTAATGGTTTGTATTTGAATGGATTTATAAATATTCGTAAGCAGTAATAGACTTATTTTATGATTTTTTGGTCTCATTTCATGTAAATTTAATAGGCAATAATGATTATTCATGTTAGGTGAAAAAAAATCATGATTTGGTAGGTGCCAATGAACTTGCCTCACTTTCAAAATCAACTCTCAATAAATATTGTTGATGATATAAATTAATAGTAACAAATTTATACTGATATTATAAGATATTTATTGTGAATTGATCAAAAAAATAAAATTTATGTAAATTTCTAATAAGAATTAGCATTAACTATTTTTTTACACAAAATGGACTTGTCCCACTTTCAAAATCAACAGCTCATTTAATCACATACCTTCAATCTAAATTGCTTTATACATTTAATTAGCCAATTTATGGTGTAATGAATTAAGCATTATACAAGAATAAGTGAAAAATTAATGAGAATGAATTTATTATTTATGAAATATATTAGACAGGGTCCAAGTTAATATGGTCTGTTTTAAACCAGTCTCCATCGCATTTTATGCACTTGGCCCACCATGTCTGTCAGTCCTGGAACATGTTCTGGAACCAGTCTTTTGACATTGTCTGCTGAATTTCCTCCAATTTCTTTATAATGGCTGTTGATGAGCCAAACACTGGTCCACAACTCCAATTTCAAATCACTGACGCCTAAACCGCTGA